TGTGCATACAACGTTTAAAATAAAATGATTTGTAAGTTCTAACGCTTATGTGTATGAGATTGAGTTTTTTCGTGGTGCTGATAAAAGTTCAGAATTCGTTGAGAAATAGTTGAAGCCCAGCAAACTCAACCAAACTTGTTTAAAATCGTATTCACTTGAAGTAATGAATCCTTTCAGTGATCTGGGAGTTGGAGAACTTTTTTGAAATAAACTAAAAGTACCTGCTTATTCTCTGCTCGCAATTGACTTACTCTGAAATGATATTGTGTCAGAAAGGATTTGTTCTTATCTTTGGGATCTGATTAATAAAATTAGTAATCTTACTAGTCAGTTCACGATAACTTATTGATTGAGGAGGGCAAGTGATGAATTTCACCCTTCAAGGCCTTTGCAGTATTCGGGGCGCACCCGTGCCCTTGAAAACACTACTATTATCCAAAATATCGCCTTAACAATCAATGAGGTTAGAAAGGCCCACATAATACAATAACGGACATTGAAGGGTGACAACGCTGTCGTTCAGATGGTCAATTGATTCGCGCATTTTCGCCATTTCTATCTTGAAATATTAACAATACCGGAAACTCTTCATTTTTCCTCACCGAATGGAAAGTAACACTGGCATAGTTAACCTTCCAATTCTTAAAGAAGCGACTATGGTAGTTCTTTGACATCATATAAATACTTATATGAAAGCTATTGTTTTAAGATGATAGACACTGTACTATAAAGCTGAAAATTCAGAAGGGGCTAACAGAAACCAACAGCCCTTCTCAAGTGGGAAAGCTAAAATTTGAGTCAGGATAATTGATGAGGCTACGCTAATCATTTATCTCTTGAAGTAATGCAATTGAAAGGTGGAACTGCTATCAACAAGTAGGATGCTCACTCCTTGCGTAAGCTTTAGGTTATTTGAATATTTCTCAATCGGATGCATTTTCGACTGGATTACTCCCGTAGAATGACATTGAATAGTTGACTCTCTTTCGAGTTGCAATTGGAGTTAATTTTTTCAGGTTTTGGCATTAATCTGATAACTGAAGTTCTCTGATCCGGGGAGTCAAATTGGCATCCCCCATTATAGAGAACTTTGTACACATCTGGTGATCTCCTTAATAAACATTACATTTGGCTTCACCGGCTAAATCTATGATTCCTCCTTATGCGTCTTTTTTAATGAATTGCCGAATTTCTCCCATTTTTAGCTTGATTGGTGTACTTTATTCATTGACCAATCATTTCTTTAATCATGATATTTGAAAGTGGAGAATTTTTGGTCGAAATCTACATAACTTTCATTATAGGGGAGGGGGCGTTCACTCTGAAGACTTTTGAAACGATACAGTAGACATGGATGTCCTAGAGTGCCTTCAAACTAGTAGGATTCTGGGAAAATGTTATAACTAGAGAACATTTTTTAATGTTTAATTCATTTGAAAGGAGACTAAAAAGTGGCATCCCTTTGAGTTAACTATTTTTGTCTTCCTGTTTGATTGACAGCCAGAGGCGGTCAGCGACATGTCTTAGTATCCCTCGGGAATCGAATTTGGCATATGCGACAAGTAGAGTCCAGTTCACGCCTTGAGAGCCTTCACTTCAGGCCAGTACAGTCACGGATGGGAGAATACATGAATCATGGCAAGGGGAACAGATGTCAAAATAATGTCCCACCAACGGGGTCATTTTTACCATGTTTCTGTTTGCACACCGGCGGCGTGGCCGCATGGATACTCAGACAAACATGTCTTCGCTATAGCTTTGCGGCAAATTCAGCCATGTTTCTAAATAAATCCCCATGACAAAGTGGTCAAATGTTTGGTGATAGATGACTCGCTGCCCCATCTTGCGAATAGTACGATTTCAGAATGGATATATCAGCCCAATTTATGAGGATTCTGTGAAATCAAATTGAGATAGACAGAGAAGAATATAAAGGGAGAAGAAAGTGAAAGTGAATGAAGTCAATGCAAATGACATTTCAAGATGAAACAGTCCCAAAAGCCAAGTGTTTAGATCTCGTAAATTACATGGACATTAAATACCACGAATTTAAAGTAATTTCATGTTCTCAAATAAGCCCAGATCCCGATATATATATGGTGGAGCAATAGGCACCGGGTATATTAATTTCTGTCAGAATAAATTACACATTAAATGGATACCTTGGGGGAGAGGGGGGGGGGTAGGAATGCAGTATTATTTGATGTTATCAAATAATCTAATCATGTTGGTACAATTAAGAAAATGGATGAAGATTAGCAATTGAATGCAGAATTTCTTTCCACTTCTTCGTTTTTGCCTTTTACTGAGCCCATCAAGAGGTTCTAACAATGCTAATTAACCTTAATTAAATAATGAATATATGAAATGTGTTAATTCCTAATCACGTCTTTTTATCTCGTCAATGAAGTATTTCTCTCTCACTTTTTCTGCCTAAATTTACCCCTCGTCTTTCATACTACTCCTATTTAACGAATGGGGGTGTGGAATAGACTTACCTCCACGTGGTGCACCCTGGGCAACGTATATTCATACGGCAAAAAAGTCTGTTAACCGGCAGTTGACTTCTGACTTCAAACTACCATGACCCCGCAGTATGTCAAATTAGACCACTTCAGCAGTACTCATCTTACCTTTTCTCTGCATTTGTGTCCATCTGCCTCCTTACATCAATGAATCACTCTCGAATTTTTCTCACTTTGATGTTCCTCACCCTGTGAAGACCGACGTCGGCTAAATGGCTAATGATAACTATTCAAGACGCCTGCCATTTGAAATAATGATTTAATGAAAGCACATCGACTAGAAATTGCGTTTTAACACAGAGGAGCACTTGAAGTTTTATTATAGCAACTATAGTCTTGGTAGAGAGGTCACATTTTGTTATTCTCACCTTGACCCCATAATGACGCATTTATCGAAAATGGTTAATCATGCTGTTTCAGGATGTTACATTCGAGTAGAGTTGTGAAATAGAGAGCCAAATCCCTGATCCAAACCAGTTAAATTTCGTACTGACTGCAAATTAGATTTTTATCAATAATTTAATCCCACCTAGTAATATTTGCCTTCTTTAATAAGTGAAAAGAAATTGTCCATTTAATAGTGTGTTTTTGATCTGGCCTATATATGAATGATTACAGGGTGCAGATTGTTGTTATTCGATTGTTAGCCTTTGCAGATTAGGGCTTTACTTCTAGCCTGACAGGTGATATCGTTGCCCGTGAGTATGAATAGTAGACTTCGAACAAAACTAACGCCCTTCAATTATATTTAAGGTGGAAATCAAGTTTAATTGAAAAGATGTGACAACTTTGCGCCTAAATAGTAATTCAGATCAAACAAAGTTTTGAACATTGGCCATAGCTCACATAGATGAAGTTTTCTTGGAAATTGGAAAAGAAGGCAAATCATCAAACTTCTGGAGAGTATCCGTTGGCTAACAATGATTATCGTTTAATAAATAATAATAATAATAAAATCTGAAGCAAATTCATTCCTACCCACGGCAATATGAGTGAGTTAATTCAAATAAAAAGTTCATATTTTTCACAATAAATTGTGTTGATGATACAAACTTTCTAAATTAATCGTATTTCATTAATCAAGGCCACGTTCAGATAGCTAAAATGAGGAAAAAATTATATGTATATACTTCTAAATGCTCGTCAAAATGCGATGTGCACGAATGTGATAGATCTAAAGTTAAAAAAACGAGAGTCATACTGTCTCCCAATCTTTCAAACTAGGTCATTCTGGGTGTGCATTATTTTGTCTTCACATGACAACTTATGCCAGTGCAATTCGCGATTAGGAAAAGGTCACTAAGTACAATTCATTGCACTTGAAAATGATGACTATTTTCGCCATCAACCAATTACCTTTAAAGTCAATCTCCACAAGAATGAAATGCTCACACATACGACTTCGAGGTCCCGGTCTCAACTCCTGGCGTAAGAAAATTCGTTTTTTCTTCTAAATCAACGTTGCCAATTTCTTTCTCATCTATGAAAATAGTACATTGAATGCAAAAGCAATGAACTATTTTCATGCCAATATGAAATTAGACCCATTAGACCCATCTGTGGCGAATGTCTATATTAAATAAAAATTTTTGCCATTGAATCAATTTGTCTTATTTAAATCCTTCTTGTCTTTGCTAACTACCCTACGCCTAGTGATCACTTTTCCCCCCTTCAAATCTATCAACTTCGTTGGTAGGTGTCTCGTGATTTTGCCCTATTCAATCATTTTTCATTGTCTTTTCATTACATATTGCCTTTACCTCCGCAATAATTATGCAGTATAACATAGTTTTATTCATTTTGAAATTGAATTTTTTTATTCGTCACACGAGGTAGTCGTATAAATAATACCTTTTTTATTAGAATCTTTCTAGTTATGAAAAATCCGCTTTAATGTGTATAGGTATATTTAAATGATTTACTTACAAAGTGGATAATTAGTGATTTCAAACTCTGCTCATGCATACATACATATATATGATTAGCTTTCAAATTGGAGGTAATTAAAAGCCGAAATGGATTGAACAATCCCCGATAAGTCGTATCGATGAATCAGCATAATCTAGTCAGAACGAATGGCTCGAAATGGCGTATAAAATGATGAAAATCAGTATGAAGAAGAGCAGGCGAAATACAGCACGCTTTCCTCGCATGCAGTTTGGAGATTGAAAAGAGGAGGGAGGAAGCGATTGGTTGAATAATTGGAAGTGTGCTCGAGGATATGAGTTAAGGCAGCAGATCGGTTGCGTCAAAGGTTGGCGGCTTCGTCTAATAGACTTGTACTTCACAAAGTGCTGCCAAGTAATCTTTTGGCCAAGTTGATCGAAGTCCATAAGCCTCTACAATTACATACCGTCCAGTGATCGGTTGATGGCAAGCAATATGGAGTTTTGGCGCAAAGACAGCGTCATTTAGCCGGGTGACATGTCCACAAAGTTGACGGCCGCCTGGAACTGTGTGTCCTTCAACATAAATAGCTATTCTCTCCAAATTATTCATGCGAAGCATCAATTCAGAAGTGCCCAGCAGACTTTGAACTATCATGTTTCGATAAGGTTCCGCTAAATGACAACAAAGGCAATCGATTATGGATTTTTGTTAAGAGAAAGCACGAGTGGAAACTATAATCAATATTTAAAATCTGTCTTTGAAATGCTCTTTTTTCTACCATTTTCACACCTGTCTGAGTCATTAGCATCTATCGATTTTTTTGAAGCTAACTTTTTAAGGCAATTTTCCTCCATTTAGTCAGTAAACTACTAACACAATTGTTATCTTTAATTAATAAAAACATTCTATCATCAACTCAGTTTGCAACCTCTTTTCTCATGCTGTTGTAGTCCAGTTTGATCATTTGAATCTCCTCCACTTTGCTAATTTTAAAGAAATTAAAAATAAAATCTAACCTGTTATTATATTTATCTAGATACCACTCTTATCATCCCACTTAATCAGAAAAAAAGAGGACGGTTATTCCTCTAATTGACATTTATCTCACTTATGTTCCTCCTTTTTCCTTCTTACCACTTTTTTTGAAGATTGAACCACTCCTTTTAGCTATTTGATTGGGGGAATTTGGCGCGAGAATGCAAATAAGTATTCCAAAAGGTTAAATTAAAACTCACTACTATTCCGCCTGTATCTGTAGGGCTAATATTTCAGACCGCAAAAGTGTCCGAATGATGTCTTGAAATGGAGCATCTAAATTCCTTACCCTTCGTGGTTATCCACCAGGGGGTGTGGTATCTCGCATTAACAAATCTATAATGAGACTATAAGGGTGGGATGTCTGACTCACTTTTCTTGTTAGGTGGCATTTTAGGAATAATTTATCAGATTGACCGTCCCTGTTAGAACTCTGTCCATTAAAATTTCAGGAATTAGAAAAACCATGAAGTGAACTTCGTGCTATGCTAAAATGAAATTCATTTGGCTTTGAAAACGGAAAAGGTGTTTGGAATACACCGAATAATTATAAATGCATAACAGTTAATTGAAAACAAATATGATTTTTTTTTCATTGGCTTTCAAAATATATAGGAAAAAGTATTATCTAGCAAGGCTTGATAATAATATCACTGTGCCAATTTACTACTAGAATTTAGAGCGAATTGTTTAAATAATCGATTTCATGTTTCTTGATGCTTAAAATGGAATTTCTGAAACATAAACCTGATTGTTGGAAGTGGAGTTTCTTGCAACCAATAAATATTCAGTTATTTCGCTAAAGTTTATTTACAAAATTTACCTTTCTGTTACTAAATTAATCTTGATTAAAAGCATTGACTGCTTCGGACCCTCCCGGTCAGATAATTAATGAATAATGCATTACAAACGTTAATGGGATATATATTTTTTTATAGTCATATTTTATTACTACACTTCAGTCCCTTTTAAAGTTGAACTTTTGTGGTAAGTGAGTACTGATCAAATCCTATAAATTCTTTGTTATGTAGTTCAAAAGGTCAAAGTGATTTGCCAATTAACCAGGGTATAACACTTGAAGATACGTTTAGCAACTTCGATCCGCGATATTGATTTTTAATTCATTTGCAGAGATGAGCAACTCTTATGGCACCATTGAAAACGCAATTACATATGTATAATACTTAAAACAGCATGTAAGACTGACATCTCCCATGAGCTCCTGTGTAGAGAATGATGCCTTGAACTTCCTGTGGCTCTTGAAGATCTACAAACCATCCAGGAGTATCTTGGAAAGGCCACGTGAACTGCAAGATCGTGCATTGGTGTCTCTTCAACTCGCCGGAATTTGATGCCACAGATCTCAGCGCTCTTTTATTGTTTGACGTAAACGTCGGTGCATCATTCATCGGTTTTTCTTCATGATCAGGTTTAGTGACTACGGATTCTGACGATGCCTCAAGACCTGTAAATCCGTCTACAGCTCGCATAGCAATTTCATCTCTTGGTACATAACCTGCATCTCCAAGCATGACTTCATGAAGGTTCCAATCGTTGATAGGAGTTGTAGGAGACACGGGCTTAGGAGTAGAGTCAACAAAGAATGCAGACTGAGAGGTGCTCTGAGCAGGAGTTGATGACAGGTAGGAGAAGACTGGAGTGTAGGGATTTTGTGGTGCGGGAACATTGTACGATGATAGAGAGGAGGGAGCGGATGATTTTCGTCGCGGATTCTCTGGATTACTTGCCATCCAGGCATCCTTCTTGTAAGCGAGATTGGCAACTGAAAAGAGGATATTTTTAGGTATAACACATGTCCAAGTAGGCACTCCGACATGTAATGCTCAATCAAGAAGTTTGATGTGCAATCTAGTCCGCCCTTTTGAAAAATAAGCTAGAAATTCGGTTTTAATTCAATTGAAAATAGATGTTCACATACGTCCTAATAATGTGGTGGTCAATCTCACTAGTTAATCCCGGCCACCGTGTGAGTTGGTGGATAGCGAGTTCCTAAAAATAGCTATTGAAGTGTACCTTCTCTCGACCTAAGTCAAGTGCTTTGAGCTCTCGTAGTACATAACTTTATTATTAACATAATATAAAGTACGGAAAAAAAACAATAAAGTATTCCGTTGCATGTATGTAATTTAAGTCTATTAAAAATAAATCCAATAAGTGGCGCAAAGTAGGAGGGTAAAATGAAACTGGGAATAAACTTAAGACACCATAAAGTCTTCTAGTTTCAAAATTCTAATTCAATTATTTTTCTTCTCCATAAATACTGAGTAAATTCTAGCCCACAATATTTATTCCAAAGTGTGCTGAATTTTCTTGATTTTAGGCAACTTCAATGATCTGAAGACATCGGAGTTTGCTGGTGCTTCTCCAAAACGAAATCAAAATTGAAATATTGAGAATACCTTTTTTAATCATCCATAGCACTAGTCGTTTGAACCTTGGACTTTGCGATTTTGATGGTCATGTAATTCCTATATTCGAAAGTTTGAAAGCACCTTCACTTCACCTTGAGGTGCATTTAAACAAGTGGGAAATTAGATGTGTGAGGGAGAAAAGAAGAAAAAGAGGTTTCTGGTGCAAGTGTCTCTATTCTAGTTGACACCTGCTAAATACTTTTCATTGTAACACAACATTGCGTATCTCTTAGTGCGTACTATCAAATTCCTCCTAATTCAGTTAAGAAAATATAATTAAAATTTCGCATCAGAATATCCTTTACTTCCAAATTCAAAGCATTTTAATTTAAGGAAATAATGAAATGGGTAGAAAGTGTTCAAAAAATAATCTTATCTCGACTGAATTTCACTCGATAGGGAATTGAATTCTCAGAAGTGATTAGATAAATCTATTTAACTGTGAGTGGGGTGTGCGATAGACTTACCTCCATGTGGTGCACCCTGGGCAACGTATACTCATACGGCAAAAAAAGTCTATTAACTGACAGTTGACTTCTCACTTCAAACTACCATGACCACACTGTATGTCATATTCGACCACTTTCACAGTACTCACCTCACCTTTCATCTACTTTTGTGTCTGTCTCTTTTACAAATTTAAAACACTCTTCTGTTCCACCCCTCTCGACTTTTTTTCGCTTTGATGTTCCTCCTCCTCTCTGTGAAGCCTGAAGTCAACTAAAGGGCTAATGATAACTATCATGAAGCCGGGCATTTGATATAAATTAAATTTAACTGTGAGCTTGTTCTCAAAGGATGGCCATTAACTTCAACCCAATTTTCATTACTCATTTTAATAAAAATTTCATTTA